TGAACACTGTAGCGCCTTAAGTCCTTCACATGATAGAGACAAGCTCTTCTGTATAAATACAAAGAGACACCAAATCTTAAATACCAATTTTAAATAGGTGGGTTTCCTTTGTCTTCTTCTTTAAACACTTTCATAGATTTTCAGTTTTAGGGATAAAGTTTTACTCTTCTTCTCAATCTCTCTGCTTTTGTCACAACAGATAAGAACAAATGTATAAGAATCAGTTGCAAGAGCTTGCACAAAGAAGCTGTTTCAATCTCCCATCATATACTTGCACAAGAGAAGGACCAGATCATGCTCCAAGATTCAAAGCTTGTGTAAACTTCAATGGTGAGATATTTGAAAGTCCCACTTATTGTTCAACTCTCAGACAAGCTGAGCATTCAGCTGCTGAAGTTGCTCTTATTGCTCTATCTTCGAAGGGACCTTCAAAGTCTCTAACTGCTAGAGTTCTTGTAAGTCTTTTTCCTTCAAAACATGCAATGTTCCTTCTCAATTCTTTAATCAAATTCTTGAAACCCATTTTGGTTTGTTCTTCTAAAGGATGAGACTGGGATCTACAAGAATCTGCTTCAAGAGACAGCACATAGAGCTGGTCTTGATCTACCGGTTTACACAAGTGTGAGATCAGGACCTGGACACATCCCAACATTCTCTTGTACTGTGGAGCTTGCTGGTATGAGTTTCAATGGAGAATCAGCAAAGACTAAGAAACAAGCTGAGAAGAATGCAGCCATTGCAGCTTGGTTCTCCTTGAGACAAAGTACCTACTCCATTTGAAACTTGATAAACCCTATGGTCCCTAATCTTATTTATGTCTCTCTCATTTTCACAGTGCGAAGCTTGGATTCTCATGGAGAGAAAAAAGGTGAAGAGAAAGAACAAGAGGTAGTTGCAAGAGTGCTCTCAAGATTTAGACCCAAAGAAGTGAGAAGAAGAGAACCAAACCAATCAAGAAGAACAATTCATCAGAACACAACAACCACAAGAGACTTGTTCTGTGAGAAACTCAGATTGATCAACCTGCATCCCAATGAAGCTTCTTCATCATCACAGAAACATCAACGAACACCACCACAGAGATTCTGGCCTT